ACTCAGGTGGGCTGTGACAGGGCAATGATGCTCAATTGGTACTAAGGGACTCAAAGAGTGCCAAGAAAATATCCCCTACACCATTACAACCCCATCACCAGCCTGAACAGTTGATACAAGGCAGGATGGATCCATGCTTTCATGTTGTTGACTACAAATTCTGACCCTGCCATCCCAATTGAGACTCATCAGACCAGGCAACTTTTTCCTATTTTATATTGTCCAATTTCGGTTGTGTTGGATTCGCTGGCAGGGGAGGAAGCCGGTGTTTGGACGGCTTGTGCCGCTTGTTAAGTTGTGCTGCCTCAGCTGTTTATAATGTAATGCAAACATGTGCATGCGCGTCTCACGGCAGCCGATGCAAACTGTGAATAACTACTCACATTTCAACAACATAATCTCTTTAATACATGTTGTCAGCCGCTGGTTCAAAACTACAGGTTATCTGGACATCAGCACAAACAGACAAGTTACAGACTACAGTCTAGTCTGGGTGTCTGCTGGATGGAAAGCAGCAGAGTGACAAAGAAATGGACAAAGACCCTGGTCTTATACCATGATAATTGAAGACATATGTCCCAACATCCTTAGGTGAAGACAATAGCTTCTCTGTTCAGGGCAAACACATAGCCCCTCTCAAAGTAAGCCCGAGGCTACTCTAAACAGATGTTCTCTGCGTTCTTCTTAATTTAACTTCCTGTGTTTCATGACTGGGGGGGATGGAAGAGAATGCTGCTGATGCGCCCATCACATCCCATCACACACATAGGTTAACTCAAAACTGTCTAAACTTTGAATATATTCTAATTCACTTTAATGAAAATCCAACAACTCTACTAACACAAACCAAGATGGCGAATATAAAGTGTGTGAATTTGTTTAAATAGCTTAAATACGAACGAAAGACAAAAAGTGTCACTTTTAATGCAATTTTTAGCCAAATGTTGATGGTTCCATAATGTGATATGTGGGTTTTAAGAGTATAAGTTTTGTGTGAACTTTGGTTTAACTAGTCAACTGCCCCTGACAAACCAAACTCCTACTGTATGATAGCAGTCCCTCTCTTGTGCAGATGAACTGCTGAAGAAGGAATCCTAATGCGCCATGATGGTTTGTAGGACTCCTGAGGCAGCTCTCCAGTACCAGCATCCTCGGCTGTTGCAGAGGAAAAAAACCCGGGACTGGGAGAGTCTATGGCGTAAAAAACCGGCCTTGAAAAGATTCTAGCAAACTGTCCAGTGCCTCAGGAGGGGGAAGCATTGCTTTTGCAATACTGTATATGGTGCAGGTGGAAAACTGCTTACCTATACTGGGGATATTGCTGGCCAGTGGAAGGAAACTTTGAGGTTTTTCCTCTATCCCCCCGTCACGTCCTACGTTCCGGAGCCAAAGGATATTGGGGCAGATACTTCCATCTCCCTGGCTGAAGTCAGGTTGTTGGCAGCCTCCTTGGTAACAAGGCTGATGAGCTCCGTCCAGACAATCTAAAGTCTGTCTTAGCTGACACATCTCTGCAGCATCGGGTGACAATCAGGGCCAGTGACAATGGAATGAAAGACCGGGGTGGTGGTCCCTCTCTACATGAAGCGGGACCAGAAGGGTGAGTTCCAAATATCGTGGGACCACACTCCTCAGCCGGCAAGGTCTACTCCTGGTCCTGAAGAGGAGACATCGACTGATAGTCAAATATTGGATTCAGGAGGAGCAGTGTGGCTTTGGTCCCGGCCGCAGAACCCCGGCCCAGCTCTATACGCGCCATAGGATACTCAAAGGATGATGGGAGTTTGACCAAACTGTCCACATGTGCTTTGTGAATTTGGAACATGCATTTGGCCGTGTCCCCTGGGATTTCCTTTGGGGGTTTCTTCGGGAGTGCAGGGTCCGGGGTACTCTGCTGAGGGCCGTCCACTGCTTGTATAACTGGAGCCAAAGCTGCATTTAAATCACCAGCAGTAAGTCAGACCAGCAACGAACCAGGACCTGCAAAATCCGTGTACCCTTCGATCATTAGTTATTCCGTTTCAAAATAAAATCAGAAAAACAAATTACGTGGTTGTTTTATTGTATTTCCATTTTCTAAATTAAATTGGAAAATCAAAACATTCTAAATAAAATATTCACCCATTTCTTTGCTATGCAGTGGAAACAAACACTACTAAAACAACTTCCATTATTTTGTTTGATATGCTACCGGAAATGATGAGTGGTGAGAGACGGAAACAACTGCAAGCTGCACTCAACTCAACTCAACTTCACGACAACAACTCGCGCTGTTGTTGAGCTCGCCCCCAGGCCCGAGCTCCAGGGGCAAAATGCTTACAGCACCTGGTATTCCCAGGCGGTCCCCCATCAAAGTACTAACCAGGCCCGACCTTGCCAAGCTTCCGAGATCAGACGAGATCGGGCATTCTCAAGGTGGTATGGCCGTAAGCACGGGGGTATGGAGCAGCGTGCCTCCTGACCCTGCTGCTGCGGTCCTCTCCTCCCCCAGAATGAGCGCTCTTGGGCGGATGGCAGGCGCGCGGTCACCCCGGTGGTTTCCAAGGGCCACAACTTTCTGGTCCTTTGTTCCCCGCGCGTCAAATTCACACCGCGGGTAGCCCGGGACCAGGGGAGTCCTTGGGTCCCACCCCCGTGTCTCTACCCTCCCTGGCTCGGCTTTGAGGAGCCCGGAAAGCCGGGCTTCCTTCCCCCGGGAATGAGCGCTCAGGCCCGGGTCTGAGCAGGAGCAAAGCCCTCCCCGGTGATAGCCCAGAACCGGAGGAGTGCGTGGGTGAAAACCCCGTGTCTCTAGCACCCCTGGTTCGTTTTTGACAAGCCCTGGAAGCCGAGCTTCTCCTCCCCCAAAATGAGCGCTCTTGGGCCGATGGCTGACGCGCGGTCCCCCGGTGGTTTCCAAGGGCCATAACTTTCTGGTCCTTTATCCCCCGCGGGATAACGGAATAACTATGTACCCTTCGATCATTAGTTATTCCGTTTCAAAATAAAATCAGAAAATCAAAATTTCCATTTGTTTATTGTTCTTTTCCTTTTCTAAACTTGAATAAAAAAATAAATCCTTTATGCTTCAATATCAATGTGTTTGTTTTGGCTCTAGTTGTTTAAAATTCTCAAAAGAATTATGGCATTACTATTATTTCGTTTTATTATTATTTGCGACACCGGAAGAGAGAAGAGACCTCGCGGAAGGGGGGCTATACTTGTGTGCTTGCTTGGTTGGAGTTTACATCTGCTGTCTTTTCTGAAATAGTGCTGAATTACCAACCTTTCTTGGCTGATGGATGAGGAGCATAAAACGACAAATATTATTGACACCACATGCTCTGAGAAGGAAGTGACGTAGAATCACAGAACCAGGTTTTAAGGTAATCAGGACCCCTTCAGAGTCTACTACATCACATGCAGTGCCATACACCAGAGGTGTCCAAACCGGTACAGAAAGGGCCGCTGTGGGTGCAGATTTTCTATCAGAACCAGGAGTAGCAGAGCAGACTCAGGTTAAGACTGAACTGAGTCTGAAGGGTTAATGCTTGTTTTAAAACCTTCAACTGTCTGACCAACAGTCTGACAGTTTCATATACCTTCTGGTCTAATCAGGATTTGACAGCAGATGCGATGCCATAGACCAGAAATTTCCAAACAGGTCCCGAAAGGGCCACTGTGTTCCTGCAGGTTTTCTTTCAGACCCAGAAGGAGCAGAGCAGACGCAACCCATTGCCTCGAATCTTCAGTTTAAGACTGAACTCACTTGAGGAAATGGGATGAGTTCAGCCTTAAACTTAAGATTTGAGGAAATGGGTGGAGTCTGCTGTGCTCCTTCTACGTGTGATAGAAAACCTGCAGCCACAGCCTTTCTGGACTGGTTTACCTTAACCAATTCCTAATAACTGTTAGGATCTGTTTGAGGTAGTGATGGAAAAGAGGCCAAAAAAAAAAGGGTTATGTCAGCATTTGTCAAACTGTCATCAGGATGACAATTTGACAAATGCTGACAAAACCCTCTTTTCCATCATTACCTTAAACAGACCTAAGCTAGTGATGGAAAAGAGGCAACAAAAAAAAAGCATTTGACAGTTTGACAGTTTGACAAATGCTAGGGTAGGGTGTTGGTACCACTGGCAATCACTGGGATGTGAACCCCTGTATCCCAGTATCAGACCGTTGTGGTAAAGCTGAACCGAAAGGAACATTTCTTGATTTTCCGGTCAATCTTTGGGTAATGACCAAAAGGATGAGATCACTGGTTCAAGTGGTCGAAATGAGCTTCCTTCATGGTGTGGTTGGGTGTTACCTTACGTCCAAACGGTGGGTAGCTCAGTCACATGGGAGGAGCTCCGAGTACAGCCACTGCTTCGCCACGTTCCTTAATACTAAGACCCTTGGGTCTTGGAATTCTTCAACAGTCTAGAATTTATCAAATGATGGGGAGTGCTAATAAGTTTGGTGACTTCAATAGCGACAGCTGGGTCATTTGATGGGTCTGGGATAAAGGGGCGGATCAGATGTTTAGACCTACTCTCTTTTGTTGCTGCGGGAAGCCTCTGTCTCAAGGGAGGAAGAGAGGGTATATTACGCATCACCCTTAGAGAGTCTGGCTTCAGCCCCAGGACTGCACTGACCTTCACAGGTCCCTGAATTGGAGGTAGTTTCACCCGCTCAGGTGGACGTCTCTGATCCTGCTTGCTTTTTTCCGTAAAGACCACTCTGTTAGTGACAATCGGCTTTGTGGGAAGAGCTGAATTCCCAGAGGTTCTCAAGGCTAAAAGCTTTTTAGGAGCAGGGTTAACCTTGTGGACAGATGGAGCTGCTGAAAGGGATGCACTGTAAGGAGAGGGCTGCTTGGTGCCCTCCCGCTTCACCTGCTCAACCCATTTAGGTGTTGGAGGTGTGTTTTGGCGACACACAGGAATGCAGCCTGGGATTTCTTCAGGGGCCTTTTCCGGTGGAGTCTGTGCCTCTTTGACTGGTCGGGCTGCCTCATGCGTCAGCTCTATTTTTTCCTATTCTTGAACTGTAGAGCTGTTCTTTAGGGTCCCACACATCCGCTTGTGCTTCATCGGATAGACATTGTTGTTCAGACAGTAGTGAAGGCAATCGTCTTCCTCGAACCGCTGCCTTTGGGCCAGCAGAGGAAGAATGATGCGATCCTCAGTCACTGCCATTTGGATGGCCTGTTCTACAGAATCCAGATGTTGCTGTTTATTGTCCATCTTCATCTGAGCCTGTCTCTCCTTCTCCTCTAGCTCCTGTTTTTCGTGGCGTGCCTTCAGAATTACTTTCTGTGAAACCAAAGAGCTGTTGAAGTGCACCAGGTTTTCCGCCTTCTGCCGTCTTTGCGCCTGTTTGCGCTGTGACTCTAGCTCGTCCTGTTCTCGCTTCTCTCTCTCCTTCTGCAAGAGATGGATCTGACGAAGCTGTTCTGTCCTCTTCTCCTGCAGTTTGTGTTCCACCTGAGTGCTCCAGAACTCTGTGATTTGATTCGCAGTCTCTTTCTGCGGCTTGTCATTCAAGTTGCGCTCAAAAAGCCAGACCTGGAGTTTTTTCTCTTCCTCATCTTGGCGAGCCCTGGCCTCCTGCTCTTTCTTTAATTGAGCCAGTCTAAGAGTGGCCTCCTCTCGATTCACCTGCTGCTGTTTGAATCTGTCTTGCGTCTGTGGTGACAGTTTTTGGAGTAATTACATAAAACCAGCCGCAGCAAATACACGGACGTCAAAGGCCTTTTATCAATGCAGAGACGCCCTTCTGACGCCATGCTGAGCTTTGTGAGGGCCCCCTGCTGTCTGTCACACCCTTGTGTCTTTCGTATCTTGAATCGGTATGCCTGCTTCAATCCATATGTCCCTGCTGCCAGGAAGGAGCCGGGCCCCCCCGACACCTACAGACAATGGCTATCACTCTTGCCCCCTTTCACCTCTTGCATATGTATCGGTCTGTATGTGTGCACTCTCTACATCCTGCAGTCTGTTTGCATCCCTATGCGCCTCCTGCACCGGTGGCCCCCCTCCCATCTGTTGTGGGCGGGACTGGCTTTCGTGTGTGTCTGGTATACAGGAAGCTCGGGGCTCTGGCCCCCAGAGCTGGGACATGCTGCCTTTGAGTGGATGTGCTGGCTCTCCGCACGTGCGTTAACAATAAACTTACGCTTTTGATCAGACAAAGGACCTTTGAGTTTTCTCCTTCATGGGGTATATAATTCCACAACACGTCTGCTTGAGGTACCCCTCTTGACGCGCGTCGACCTCGGCCTGCTCACGTCGCCACTGCTTCTCTGTCTCTGCGCTCTGCTGCTGCTCTCTCTGCTGTTGTATGCGTTTCAAATCGACACTCTCTAAATACATCTTATATATAACTTTTTTAGTGCTTCTTTTGTCAGCACACTCATCATTTTGGACCTGAGGAGGCGGGACACGGGGAGTGCATCTCTTCTCTTGTGCCTTTTTTTCCGCAATCATGGCATTATAAGAATGTGCAGCCTGGCGCTCACGTTCTTTGCGCTCCTCGATCTGCTGCTCATTTTTTCGGACCTCTTTGTTTATTGGGAGTTGTCCTCCTTTATATTCGGACACAGTGGTCCTTTCGGCCTTCTCTCTGGCCTTCTTCTCTCGCTGAAGTTGGCATAGGGCCTGATTGTCCTTGGTCACTTTGGACACAAGCACAATCCTCTGCAGGTCCTTGTATGGAGCTGACTGCTGCAATATATTTTCTTTGGCTGACTCCAGAACCATTTGATCCTGTTCTTCATGACGTCTCATCTTCTCAGCCAACAGAAAATCCTGACGCCCCTGCATTCTCCTCCTCCTCTCCTCCATAGGAAGTCGATACTTCTCCTTCTGCATTCTGGTCTTGGACCGTCTGTGTGTTGAACCACCACATAGGCCCACCCTCACAAGCTCTGTCATAAAGAAATGGCTGTTGCCATGGAGACAAGATCAAGAGTCATAAAGAAATTGTTGTTGCCATGGAGACGAGATCAAGAGGATAGATAGCCACAAAAGGAGAGATTGTTTCCATGGTAACCCATAGCAACACACATCCAGTTCGACAACTTATACACTGTAGGGGAGAAAATTCTTCAGTTGTATGCACAGCTAAACAGAGCTGTTTTTAAGCTGGATTTGAAGACTGCAGAGACCTGTCTCACAATTTCAGGCAGATTGTTCCATAACTTAGCTGCATAAATCTGAATTGCTGCCTCCACATGTTCAGTTTTGAGTCTGGGCACCAGCAGGAGGCCGGTCCCTGTGCTCCTCAGTGTCTCAGCTGGAGGCCAGTCCCTGTGCTCTTCATAGTCCCAGCTGGTTCAAATGGCATCAACATGTCACAGATGTTAGGTTTAGGTGCAAGGTCATGCAGAGACTTGTACTCAAGCAGTGCTAGTCTATTCTCTGAGTCACAGGAAACCAGTGCAGAGACCTGAGGACTGGACTGATGTGATTCTACTTCCAGGTTCTAGTCAGGACTCCAGCTGCAGCATATTGGACAAACCGACATAGGTATTTTATATTTGTAGCCTCCAAACACCTTTAGCTTTAGCAAACAACAGCAGGGCAGGTTTTGTTGCTGCGTTTGATGTTAGCTACGTAACTTGATTTTAATTGATGCTGTCGACAAAGTTGCAAATGTAATTAAAATTAGGGGTGGGAAAAATTTATCTAATTAATTAGAGCCTTTGTAATTAATTAATTGCAATTCATCACATTTGAATCACAAATAAATATTTGACCTGAGAACAGTGAGAAGACATTTTTTTTTACATGGATTTTTAGTTCACCATTGAATAATGACTGAATACATAATTATAGGCCGTCTGCTGAGGCACAAATTGCGTTGTTTCGTTCCAAGCTTGGGGCATGAAAATCTGAGCGGATCATGTGATAGCTTGTCTAACATACAGAACATAACCAAAAGTTCTCCATTCGAATTCCAGCAGTTATTGTATAGTTTCAAATCTTACGCCGGACTATTTCTCGTGTAAGGAGACGAAAAAGGTTGTCAACCGTCAGTGCTCAGCCAATAGGAGACGCGTATTATCGAGCATTTCCGGGAAAATCACTACGCGGTATGTCAACAAACACGGCGTGCGAGGCTTGTTGTGGATCACCACTGTCGGCGTCTGAGGCAGAAATGGACGCTTTGCCGCTTTTGAAATGCATCATGCACATAGAACCAGCCACAGTAAACCTCTGTGAAAAACTGACGGAAGCTAGGTGGGACACCTGCTGACGATGCACCCGTGATTGGGACGAGACGAGCGTAGGGAGTCGGGAGTCCAAAATAGTTCGTGTGTGCCTCCCACAATCCACAATCTCTCCCATGACTCGCATAAAAGGAAATCCACACACGTGTTGCCCCTCATCTGTTTGATTTGCAAATGACTCGTTAGGGCAAGAGGGTGCAAGACAAACTCATCCAGGCAGAAAATGAAAGTGCAGGTAAGCCTATGATGTTGATGTCTTCATACAATTAACACCACCACAACAGCCCTATCCAGCCGTGTGTCATCACTGCACGTATTTCACTGATTGCATGTGCAGTAGAACTGCTGCAAGTGTTTTCCTGCAGGAGGGCCACTTGCAGAAAGCTCCATGGGTGGCCTCTGACTCAAGAGACCATAAGTTTGAAAGGGAAAGAAGTGGCATCAAGTAGAACCATGTTTTTTAGAGTGACTGATGAAAACCTAAAATAGATGTTTGTTCTATTGTGCATTCCTAAATGAACAAAATAATATGTAAAGTGCGTGGAGATTGTTTGATTTTATTACAGATGACTTGTGATGCAGCTTCACATACTCCCATACCTTCCTGGTAAACTGCTTGAGGTCTAGCACTCCCACCCCCTTCATCATCGAGGTCAACTCCTTTCTTCAATCCGAGACCGCAGGAACTGGTTGGTCCAACTCTCCATGGCTTTTAACTATTCCAGTTTAAATACTTTTTTAGCAAGTTTGTTCTTCGTCTTGTTAAATTCCCAATCAAATAATTTCTTTCCCTCTTTTACAGGTTTCAGTAAAGATTTCCTCTTAAGGTTTTACATGACTTTTCATGACTTTTCCCATGACCCTTAACCAATTTTCCATGGCCAATAAATTACTCAGTCTATTTTCAATTGTTACTTGCATTCATTTGTTGATTTAGTGCCTAAACACATTTTACAGATGTCTTACAACTTTTAAGGAAGACATTTTACAGATGTCTTCCATAAAATAATAATAACTTTTTAAAGGGAACATATTCTGCAAAAAAACGACAGAATTTTAACACTTTACAACAACGAAGAATAGTTTTTCATTCATGCAGTTTTGAGCTTAAGGTTATTTTGAGTCATAGGAAAATCACAGAACTGTCCACCACATTTTCCTCACAAAGTGGTGTTGAACCAGGGTGCAATTGTGTTGCAAACAACTTCAGTTGATCACTTTTTACCTAATCATTCCTTCTGCTGCCTCAGAGGAGCTCTAGGTTACCGCTGGCCAGCTCAGGCCTCTATGTTGTCAGATAACTATTTTATCATTTACATAAAAAATACTAATAAAAGGTTTGGGAACCAAACATTTGTTTTTAATTTAGCCTAAAAATTCCATCATGCAAAAGTCAACTTTTTACAAAATATTAACTGTTGTAGTTAACCTTTTTTTCCCAATACGTTCCTGAACAAAAATAACCATGCAATTACTTCAACAATAAAATACACTCAAAATGGTAGCAAAGTATGTACTGCTACATTCTGCATTGCATTGCATTGTCAAGACTAACTGTAAGTGAAAGTAGTGTCTCAGTACAGTAAATATGTAATAAAAACAGCTTCAGTCATTAACTTAGTTCGAGTAAAAAAAAGTGTCTCTCACTACAAGACTAAGATGGATTTCCCCTGTTCATTCTGAAATATAAAATAGCTGCAGTACATTAACTGAAGTTTAAGTAAAAAATAAAGTGTCCCAGTACAACTGAGTAGCGATATGGCCATGTTAATGGTTAAAATGTAAAATAAAATAAAAAAAGTTCAAGTAACATAAAGTGTCCCATATTGCAGGACAAGGTTTGCAGTTAATTCTTCAAGACACATAAATTAAGCCAGCTCCAGTGCATTATAGTTCAAGTAGATAATAAAAATAAACTATCAAAAAGACTAGTTAGTTACATTTTAAAGTATCATGTGATATAGGTGAGTAAGCAGGCCTAATTCTGTAAAGGTCTTTGGGGGGGGGGGCGGGAGCCAATTATAGTTTGTAAGCTCATTCTTTGGTTTTCATCTCACGAAGCTTGTTGTCCATTTGCTTATCGAGATCCTGTAGAGAGATTTTCTTTTCCTTAGCCTTGCGGCGCATGACTGTTTGACTTTGTTAAGAAGGTTATGTGCCAGTGTTTTCTGCTTTGTAGCGTAGTCGTCTGCTCCTTCTCCAATGCAGAAATACATCCTGATGTTTTCTGGCTTTCTCCTTTTTTTATTCACTAGGTTCATCTGTAATGCCTTTCACTTTCCACAGACCTTTGCTCCATTTGCCCACCAATATATCCAAGTCGCGTTCGTATCGCTGTCTTGCACAAGAAATGACATGAAGAGTTCCTTGGTAGTAAGTACATTTGTCACATCACCAACAGCCCTAATGTGTCCCACAAAGAGCACTCTGCGCAATGGTGACTGTTCCCTTTGATATTCCAACAATACTCTTTGTGAATGGAAAACCCTCTCACTACACATGCTTGCCAATACAAATAGCCAATACAACATACGAGCGAGTGCTCAACTCCCTTCCCGCTAGCGCTGGACCCCGCTCTGAAAGCGTTGGGTAGTACGTGCAGACCACTAGAGCCAATGTTTTAACAGACGACTTGTCCTCCTGTTTTTTGCATCACTTTTGGAATCATTCATATGCTTTCCAGTTCACGTAGGGTCCGTCCATTGACAGCTTGATGAGGTTTTTAATTCCCTCTCGGACAACGTGTTGCACATCTATTTCACAATATCAACCGCTGTAGAATGTTCAAGAAACTGGAACCGATATATTTGCTCTGACTTCTCACCTTGCCAACACGCGTACGGAATGTCCAATTTGCTTCGACAGTAAGCTAATGGTTCAAAGATCGTCAAATAGCACACGAATGCGGTTTTTGGTTGGACACGTCCTTTCAATTAAAGTCTATTTGATATACGGCTCAAGCCCAAATGTGGCCGATGTATGCACACTTTTTCTCACCGCATGTGAATCTTGTGCAATTTGGCTGTCTGGGAACATAGCTGTCAAACAGACGACTCTTTGCCCACTGACGATTTTGTAGAGTAAAGCGAAATTCAATAACTTTTAATACCCATAGTATCTCGCTTTCAGTACCTCATTTTTAGAGAGAAAATTCCAACGTTCCTTGAGTTGTTGTCGTGCTCTTGTCTGGGGGTTTCTGTACACTAGCGCCTATAACTGGCCGATGGAATCGCCGCGGCATTTGCCCTCAGGCTAACTCATGTTTTTTTCCCTATCAATAAGGCTCGCCAAGCTGACTCCCCCATATTCGCAATGTCACACGTTTTAACGCATAGCTTACACTTTGGCATTACTTGTAGTCGAGTCTTTTTGAAGCCAGCTCTGATATTTTCCACAAATAGCCACGCATTGTGAATCGCATTTTCCTGGCATGATGGTTTTGCTGATTCGCTGTAGCACGGAAAAATTAGCTGGCCTCGAGTCAAGCGTGGGGCGTGTCTCAAAATGGCTGCAAGCAACCTGTCTTCCCGACTACATTTAAGCCGCTGGAGTGCTTTACGATTGTTTTTTATTTATTCATTACATATGTAAATACGCCTTAAATTTTTTTAAAGCATACATTTTGTAAAATTTCAAACT